AGCCAGATATATGAACAGATATACCTCTGTGTGATAAATACAGAGAAGAGTGATCAAGGAAACTTGTGCTCTAGTGACCTTGAAAAGTGCCCCTCACTGCTGTTGGAGGGGTGGTATTAGTGATGGAGATTGGGGAGTGATACCTGAGATGTGTCTTGAAGACTAAGTTGACATTCAGTAAGCATTGAATGGATGAATGGTGCTTATCCACTGTCCTTGGTATTAAAATCCCTGGAAGGCAGAGCCTAGCAAGGGAGTGAGGAAAGAGAGAGATATTTCACAGAGGAATCACCAGCATTCCATTTTGAAGATGTCAAACAGGAGGCTGGAGTGGAGAGAATGAGCACAAGAACTGATTCAGGGGTCTTCAGGCAATGGGAGAATACACTGTCAAGGACCTCAGACATTATCCTGCTGGAGATGGGAAGTCATTTTCATTTGTATTTTTCCAGTCTGAAATGCTCTTCATCCATTAACAAACAGTCATATGGCTTGGACCCTCTGTTCCTTTAGGTCTGTGCTTTGAAGGAAAACAAAACAGGGGCAGGGAGAGGTGCTCTCTTACAGAGGCTGCCCGGGGAAGCTTTGCTGGTATTTGGCAGATGGCCGAAGCAGCTGAGATGTTTAAGTCATATGAATATCTGTTAATGAATGAAAGAGTGTTTCAGGCTGGAAAAATAGAGAAGGAAGGAAAATAACCTAAAGGCTATTACAAAAGGTTAAGTAAATTAGTCAATACAATTAATAAAATACTATACAGATCTTAAGAATGACAATCTTGGGACTTCCCTGGTGGTCCAGTGGTTTAAAATCTTCCTCCCAGGCAGAAGATGCAGGTTTGATCCCTGATCATGGAACTAAGATGTCACATACTATGGAGCAACTAAGCCAGTGAGCTGCAATAAAGAACTCACATGCCACAGCTAAGACCCAAAGCAGACAAGTAAAGAAAGACAGGAGGGAGAGGGGAAGGAAGGAAGGGAAAGAGAGAAAGAGAAAAATATTTTAAAAAGAGATAAAGAAGAAAGGAAGGAAGGAAAAGAAAATATTCTCTGTGAATAAATAAGATATTCTAGCAGCTTCTTTTGGGCTCCTAATTGATGGGGACTTTCAAGCCAGCTAAGGCTCTAGGGCTTGACATTCACTTGCTGGTTGACAGCGGCCTTGAAAACAAAGTGAGAATGTTTCCACTTCCCCATTTCAATCTGCGCACCACCATCTGCTGTGCTGATTCCCAGGGTGGCTGCCTCAGTTGGGACAGAATACGAATGGCCCAGGAAACCAGAGATTCACTGATGCTAAAGCAAGATGGACTTGCAGACTATCAGAAAGAGGAAGCTTCTTGAAAGAGGCCACTGAATTGGTTTCATGGACCAACACTTTGATCTCAACATGTGTGGAAAAAATACTGCACATTGTCTCAGAGACTTCTCCCTTTGAGAGAAGTGTCTTGATCTTCGCTCCTTCCTGCTTCAGTCTCACTCCACTAGCGGACAGAGTGATCTTCTTTACGTGCAAACATGACCCATCATTCTCCCACTCCAAACACTTCACTGGCTCTAAGGTGCTCTTAGGATAACAAGCAGTTCCCTGGCATGGCCGTTGAGGCCCTGTCTCTTGGGCGGTGCCCACTTTATGCCACTCTTTCCCTTGCCTGCTATGTTCCAGCCCTGTGACTGTCTTTCACCTCCTCAGATGTGGCACCTTCCTACCCAACTCGGATCTCTTCTGTACTATTTTTTTAATTATGTTTAATTCAAGGATAACTGCTTTACAACGTCGTGTTGGTTTCTGCCATATCAACATACTATTTTTATACTTGGAATCTATCTAGCAATCTGATCAGCTCCCACTTACCCTCCATATTATGGTGTAAACATCATTACCCCAGGAGACCCTCCTTAGTCTCATGCCCTGCACCGGGCTGGGTGAATGAAGGGGGCTCACAGCAACACCTACCCCAGGACTTCCCCACCAGAGCACACAACTCAATTAGGGTTAAGCAATTAGCAGGCAGTTATTTGCTCCTTGAAGTTATTTGCTTCTTGAAAGAGTCCACTGAAGCAGATCACCGAGAAGGTTGGAAATAGATTCTTTTTCTTTTTTAAGAAACTTAACACCAGCTTTTTTTTTTTTAAATCATTTTTATTTATTTATTTATTTGGCTGTGCCAAGTCTTAATTGTGGCACATGAACTCTTAGTTGCAACATGTGGGATCTATTTCCCTGGCCAGGGATTGAACCTGGGCCTCCTGGCCTGGGAGCTTGGAATCTTAGCCACTGGACCACCAGGGAAATCCCCTGAAATTGATTCTGTAGAGAATAATGGAGCTAACTCCCCGCACACCACCATGGAGTTTTGATGGATCAGGAGAGCTTGCTCACCTTGAATGTTTGGAAACGCCAAGCGCTTGTGCTATGAGATGTTTCTCCACGTTGCTCAGCATCTTGTGTGAAGCAGAGAAGGACATTTCCTGGAAAGTGGCTGCTGTGAGCGTCAAGACAGCGGGACCCAGAGAGGTTAATGCTAAGTGTTTGCCCACTGTCACATGGCTGGTACGTGGTGAAGCCTGGAGTAAATTCTGTAACTTTTTGGTTTCAAAGTCTTTCATACACCATGTCATGTGCTTTGTTTCTGGAAGATAAATTTTGAAAGAAAAAAGCTGCTCAATAAAGATTCGGATGCTATTAAACAGGCTTAGATAGTGAACATGTGGCCATGACTAGAGCTATCTTTTCAGGAAACTAGAAGCGCTTGCCTTGTCTCTTTTGCTTTCTGTTGACTGAGGCTGAAATTATTTTTCCTTCCATAAATAGAGGTACAAATGTCCCCTGGGAGAGAGGGTCCAAGGGATCACTCCAAAGTATGTCTGCTGCATCTTGAAAACCTGATAGCATCTTGTCAACACCCTGGCCAGAGGAATCACCAGCATTGCTAAAGTTGCATCTGTTTTACCAGGCTAATCCCTGTAAATGTTCCATGAAGCTGCCGAGGGACCTCTGCCTGGCTGGGGTCAGGGCAGACAGAGAAGTCAGGAGAAGGGTTCTAGACTGCAGAGCCCCTGAGAGGAGGACTCAAAATGGGGCTGTCTCATGCTTTGCCAAGTAACTAGTGATAATCATGACCATTTAATGAGCATCTACCAGCTTCTGGTATTTTACTTGAAAGGGAAGAGAAGAAACTTGCAAACCCAAGGTGACAGAGGCAGAGAGCAGAGGGCAAGTCCCTTGGGGAGATGAGAGGGTTAGAAAGATAGCCAGTCTTTGAACCACAGTAATTCAGTTTACCACTTGCTATTATTATAAGAATAATACATATTCTTTGGAGAAAGATTGAAAACCTTAAAAAAATAGAAAGAAGAAAATATTTCTGTGAATCAGAAAAATACTGTTAGGACTTTAGAATGCAGTATCTTCAAGTTTGGAACATGAATTTTTCTTTTCTTTTTTTTTTACAAGATGGGACCATATGCTTTTTCACTTACTAATACTATGTAAACATTTTGCCACATTTTAATAAGGTCTCAATTAAACAATAACATGTTTAATGCCTGCACAGTGCTCCAGAACAGCAGGAATGAGAGCACCAAATGCCTAACTGGCCTGGGGTCAAATTCCAGCTCTGCCTTTCCTGACCATATGACAAAACCCCTCCACCCAATGAAGAGAATAACAGACTCTCCTCTTAGGTATGTTGGGACAATCATATGAGAAACGGAATTGAAAACCCTTTCCACAGTGCTGCATATATGCAAACTCTTATCATTTCTGAAACTTACCGATTTCCTATTCTCCAACATTTGGGTTTCTCAGGTTTTCACTATCATAAATAAGAGGTAAGGAACACTGTTACATACAGATCTTTGTGGTCCTCTATAATCATGTCTTGATGTGAAATTACTGGATCAAAAGGTATGCAGAGTTTGCATGCATTTGATACACATTGTCAAACTATTCTTCAAGAGATGAGTGTTGATTTATAGTTAATTTGATGGCCCTTTGGAAGAGGTGGCTATGAAATCAGGAACCGATGATGAATTACATTAAGTAGGGAAGTAAGAAGCAATCGGCATTTGTAGACAGCCCAGCACATAATACCTACCAAATCCTGGGCAGGCCTGCTGGCCTCTCTTCTTCCACCTCAAATCAGGTCCAGGTTCTGACACAGGAAGGAACCTGACAGAATGTGATGGGCATTGAATGGCCCTAGACTGAAGGAGAGGTTAGACAGATTAGAAGACGGTGCAAAAGCCTTGTCAGATCAATAAAAACAAATCCCATGATTTTCTTCTTTGGATTACTTTAGTGTTATTAATTACTGCCAAGTACTACTTATTCATTTTTAGACACTACTTCCAAATTGTAATTAACTCATATTAACAGCATATGTATAGAATTTTGTGGGATATTGAATATGTTGAATTTTCACAATGTGGTGATCCTTTATTCTGAGATTATGTCCTTGCTACTTTTTTTCTTTTCAAAGTTCTTTTAAAATTGAAATAATGATGATGGTGGTAGGGTATTTTAGAGTCTTTTAATTGGCAAATAAAAGACTTTATTTGCCTTCTACTTTTAGCCTTAAATTTTATCGGTACCTGGAATCCATATATCTGGAAGCAAATGTCCAAATGACACATAAGCTAGTCTTGAAACTTTCATTTATCCAACCAACATTCAGTGAGTGGATGCTGTGTGCAAGATGAATGGAAATCTCCGGGTCACACATTAGTATAACACCATGAAGCTGCAACACCATTGTCTCTGGGGGTGACAGGTTGTAAATGACAGAAAGCTAGGGGAACATGGGAATCACAGTGTATCACAGGGTCCCCAAGTCTTAATGCTTACAGGAACGATATACCTCATTGGAGTCCCTGGGGAAATAAAATTCACTACAACAAACACCTCCTCAGAGTTGCACAGTATGTATTTCAGAAATTAAAAGAACAAAATTAGACTGAACGTAGGACAAAAGTAGAGGTTAAATAACCCAGACACCAAGATTTATCCTTGTAAGCAGAAGAAATTAGCTGTAAGCTTTTTTTATTAAGCAATTATTTGGTTAAGGACACCCAAAGAAAGGAAAACCAACGCCTAATTTCATAATACAAGTACATGGAGAGCTAAAGTAAACTCTTTAATATCCACAAAAACCTTAAATAAAAAGAATCACAAAACAAAATATCATTAGTCACACTTAGATTATACTGGGACAATATAAATCAACTAAGTTGTAAATTCTACACAGACATAGAGAACAGCAGGTATAAGCGAAATGGGAGATTATGCTGTATGAATATATTTATATGAGCAAGGGCTCTTTAGTATCCTAAATTTACTGAGTTAAAATTGAAAAATATAAATATTTTTGTTGTCTGAGCCAGAGAAATCTTTAGATTTGAGATGCTTAAATCACAGAAAATCTTTGAAACTATTCTTCCCAAGCACTTTCTCTGGGGCCGGGAGGCAGAATAGTTCTAGAAAGAAAATCTATGAACATTTTGGGAGAATTTTCTGAGAGTTGACATGAGACATGCTTTTGGAAGGCCTTAATGGTTTGTCAGTTTTGAGGGTAGTCAGTAGTCCTTTAAGGGTATGTGTCACAACATAAATTATTTATTGAGATTCCAGCAAATATCCAAGCAATTGGGAAGGACATAGACACGACAGCTTTTTCTTTTTTTCCAAAGGGTGATGATAATTCTCTCAACCAAAATGGCTAAACTCCAACACCCTGCCAGAATTTGCATTCAAAAGGAAAAACCCAAAATAAGCCTCACCAAAATCTTCCCCATCACCTGCTTCAAAGAGATTATTGTCAAGAATTAACATGACTGAATTCATTTAATATGAATAAATAAGTGACATGAACTTACAGCAGTGAGCATTTACCACCGGCACATTGCTTTTTGTTGGCTTTGACATGGAGATCATTCTCTGGATGAAAAATGTCTTGTCAATTCATTGAATTAACATTGGTCACTAATCATCTAGTTAGGTTCCAATTATATATATCCAGGCTTGGATAATGTAATTGAAATTTAATTTACAGTTTTTAAATGACAATGTGTGATTTAAATTGCAAATAAATCATAGGAGAATCATTAGATTATGAACCATGAGTGACACTATCTTTATCTTTTAATGGCATTATTTACACTGAAGACAGTGTTTCTGAAAGCAGAATGCTCTATTCTATTAACTTAGACACAGTGACAAGAAATCTTGATATATGTATGTATACATGTCACATTTTACAGAGGCACACACCTTTTGAAAACACACTTTTTTAAAAGACAGGGGAGTATTTTTCAGGCACCAATCTTGCAAAAAATCTCACAGATTTTAAAAAATGTTAAATTCAAGCACGTCAATAAATGAAAAACAGCAAAATAATTACAGCTAAAATTGTCAATGTTGAACTAACAATTATAAATTATAATGGTTTCAGGTTCTTAGTAAAAGCATTGGAGTGGAAAAGGTGGAATTTCAAGTCAAATCCCATCACAAGAAACTTCATTGCAATAAAAAACTTGGATCATAAAGAAATGGTTTCCAAGGTCTGGCCAGACATTATAAGTGTTTCTCATTCTCATTGCCACAACACTTACAATTTTAAATAATTTGTGGCAATGATTATTTTCCTAAAAGCAATTATTCAAAAGTTCTTTCTCATACAACAGTCACTTCCAAAAATGAAAATAGTCCAACCCTCGATTTTATGACACAGTGTAAGGTGTGGTAATAGAAACCTTGATTCTAAGTAACCAGAAAAACAGAAACACAGATTATAACTGAAACCAATTTACTTTTTTTACATTGAAAAAGAATGCACTGGCAGACAATAACTACATCTACAAATTTGACTAGTTTGTGTACTAGCAGCCTATTCTGAATTTATTTTGAGCTCAATACACAACAATAGAGGGAGGTGCACAGCAGTGTCCACTGAAGATGTTTACTTTATAATTTAAATATATTAGGTACCTGCTATAACACACACGTGGTCATGAACTCATCAAGGATAAAGACACTTAACTTATGAATCTCTAGCGCTTAGAACATACCAGGCACATACTAAATGTGAACTGACGGACTTTTAGGAACACTTTTCCTCATATAAGTTCCTCTTTTCCCTGAGTCTGGGATAATTTATGGACCATGATGAAACAAAGAAGTTACAAAAATAAAAAGGGGATCATATTAAGAGCACGATTAACAATTCCTTTCTTTAAAACTATTCTCTGAGTTCTAATGAAGGACAGTGGTGGTCCCTGCTATGGAAACTATTCCCTGTAATTTGCACTGACACTATGGACATGAACCTACAAGAAAGTGGGGGGTGGAGAGTGAGGTGCACCGAATAATGAAAAGTTGGGTTGTTTTTCTCCAAGGCAATCAACTATGTGATCAAGTCAAGCCTTTTTTTGCATGTTTCCTCTCAAATAGGATATATTTGTAAAAAGAAAAAAAAGGTTTCAAGATGAATTACCTTTTTGAGATATCCTGGGACCTATTTAGAACAATAATGTTAAATGACCTAATTAGTATTCAATGGGCTTAAATGAATCAGTATTTTTTTTAAAAAATGATATACTCCAAAGAATTAACTGAGTAATCAATTTGCTGAAGTTCCGCATTTAGACTATAGTGATAATACAGCTTTAGTGTCAGGAAGAACTTTAGAAATATTTCTCTGGAGAAATCATTCTAATTATGATTATATTTTCATTTTTAAAAAATAGTTAATTGATTATTTTGGCATAATAATCTATACTTTTGGTGGGGAAAACCAGTCACGACAATAATTTCCCTTATTAGTTCAATCAGTTCCATACTGAACAAATAACTTCATGAAGGAATCGCTTATATGACAGTATTACAGAGGACTATGAAAAAAATCATTTTTGGAATATTATATTTAATATAAAAGAGTTTACTATAAGAGGAATAATGGTAATATAAATGAAAGTTTTAGATTTATAACCAATATGTATAATATTTAGTTGACAGTGTCTAACCATTCATAATTATGATTAAGAGGAATACTGGAAATCTAAGTAAACATATCTATCAGATAAGCAGTGGGATGTAAAGAGCATGACTAATCTGGAGACAGGACATGGCATAGGCATTTTGAAATAAATGGTCATAAGGGCTTTTTTAAGTGTGAAATATCAATCAACAGTAGCATTGAAGGGACTGAATTTTTCACCATTTGAAAATTTACTATGTTTACTAAGTTTCTGTAAACTTTCCAGAGTCAGTGGTAAATTATTCTTTATTCACAAATCAAAGGCTTATGATTGGCTTAAGTATTTTTGTTAAGCCAAATAAAGTAATTTGTGATTTTCTACAGTTTTTAAAAAGTTTCATTTCCTTATTACTTAACACATGCAACCCAACTTGATTAAAATGCATGCGTATGATAGTTCATATCCATTTTCTCCCAAGCAGAAATTACACGGCATTCAGGTGTAATCCTTAGAATTTATCACTCTAACACTCTCCTATGCTAATTTCACTATAAAAACATTTCAGGAAATGAGTATTTATTTTTAGCATTTTTATGAGATTAACAATAATTTTCCATATACTCTAGAGCTGCATTGTCCAATACGGTAGCCATTAGACACATTTGGCTATTGAAACACTTGAAATGTGACTACTGCAACTTGAAGAACTGAATTTCTAATTTCAGTTAATTTTGAAGTTAAAAACTTATGTTTGTTTTAGTTATTAGAGAAATCTTAAGTATGTTTAGACAACCTAGGTTAATGAATCTACTTTTTATTCTGCAAAATTTATGAAATTGCAATAAATCAAGTATTATTGATGAACACCCAATGTCCAAATTAAGGTGAACTTAAAATTTAAAAAACAAACCAGATTTTAAAGACTTTAACATAAAAAACATAAAATTCTCATTAACAATTTTATATTGATTTCTTAAGTACTTTGCATCATATTTCTCTTAGCACTGATCTAGAACTCTATGAAATTTGCTAGCTTCTGAAAGTCATGTTTTAAATTTTTTATTCTTTTAATAAAAAATTATCATTATGAAAAAGAAATTAGAGCTAGAATTTGTCTAGTAAAAAGCGACCTTCCTTCTCTGAACTGCAGAGCCCTTGCTAGCACCAACAGCAGAATGCAAAAATGATAGGCAGTGAAATATGCAGAAATCATGTATGATAGCACTGATGAGTGTGCAATCAAATAAAACTGCTCACACACTACAAAGTGTATCTTTTCTTGCTCCCAATTGTCCTCAGACCTATGTGCACCTAATTTCAAAATTAATTTTCAAACTTTCTACCAAATTCTGCTTTGCTATGGCTTCTGGTATAGATAAATGAGCGATGACTTTACTGAGCAATATGCGTGATCATGTATTAATACTAGATTCTGTCCAGGCCCGAGAACTTTCATCCTTTAGGGTGGAGAGCTTCCTCTGGGAGAAGGGTTCAAATCCCAGAAGCTTGAACACTGCCACCCGGTACTTCTTGGACATGATGTTGTACAGAATAGGGTTGATGGCAGCACTGAGGTAGAAGAGGACGAAGGAGACGAGGTTGCAGTATTGGCTGATCTGAGCGATCTCCACAGAGCCAGGCTCGAAGGATTTGGAAAATAAATATCGTCCTACATGGAAGGGCAGCCAGCAAAGGATGAAAGCGAAAACCACTACAGCTGAAAGGACAATGAGAAAGAGAACGTCAGTTCAAGATAAGTCCTAGCAAACCACAGTCTCTTCTGAAGACGTGGACTTGTTTTGATTACGTGTGGTATGACAACTGACTTCAGAAAAATATCATATTTTGCTCTTCCCCATTCCTATATTTTAACCAAGATTGACTCTGTTTGGACCAACAGTTCAACCATTGTCACTAAGCTTTCCAATTATTTCTATTTAACAACTACTTTAGTAATTTTGTGCTTGAGTTGACATGTTAGATCAAACCTATATGAGATACAGATTCCTTGGATACAATACAAACTAACTAAATTAAAACTTCTAGAAAGGAGACCAGGACACCTGTTTTTTTCTTTTTAAAGTTTCATAAAAGATTGAATATACAGTCAGGATTGAGAACCATGGAGATGAATGAGACTTTTCCACCTAAAATAGACATAAGTAAGGAATAAAAGGCCATAAAACCAACTAACATTAATGATCATCCACTCAAGTTTTAATTTTCCCCATGTAAGGTAGCTTTTTTTTTTCCCAATACCTTTGCATTTCTAGGTTAAGTTTTTAAAATTCAGAAATCAGAGGAAAAATAACAGAAAAAAAAAATTCTGGTCTTTGTACCACTTTAGGGAATCACATAAGTGATTGATTCCCTTCCAGTTGTCAAGGCAAAACAAAATTAGCATTGGTGTTAAGACACCAGTGAGGATAATTAACAGTTTAAAAATAAAATTAGAGGAAATTATTCAATGTACTCCTCCCAAAACTAAGCTGCGTAGTAGCAACCGACTGCCCCAGCAGCAACATGAAATTAGAGTCCCTTAAGGAGTGCTAGCAGATTTCGATCAATTAGTCATATTTTGAGAATCACTGGTCTAAAGAAAAAAAAACTGATATTCTTTGAATCAATTCTACCACTTTAATATACAGGATTTTAGGAATTGTGAAAGTACAATGCAAAATTATCCTGAAATGACTTCTAAGAAGCACTAAGTATGCAAATAAGTACAAAATGTTTACTACAATGTCCAAATAAAATGTAAATATTCTGGTTTTGAAAAAAGTAGAATTACAATTTCACTTGGATGTGAACACACTTTGTATTACTTGTACCAAACACATATAGCTACAGAAGCTGAATTTATGGAATAACTATCCCATACTGCATCCAGATGTTCTCTGAAGGCTCACTTGTGGAGAGATAGTAAGTCCTACCAGCTTCCACACCTCCTTTTCTCATGTTGGAAGCCTGCCTATCCTATCTAGTCTTTCCTACTTGGAGAGACAGGTAAGTATGAAAACAGAGATCCCAGGACTTTTTTGTCACCGACTTCCTTACAAAGCTGTATAAACAGCATCAGGATAAACAGAATTGAGGTAATTATCTGAAAAAAAAAATACAAGTCAGAAAGCAAATCACAATGTTGAAAGAAAAATGAATCTTCTCTGATAGAATTATCCAAATGATCACATTTTTGTGATCACAAATTTACCAATGAATGCTTTCTAGAGTCAATGCCTGGTTTTTTCACTCTCAGTACCTGCTTTTCTGAATGCAACTTAGTTATCTACATATTGAGGCAGGAAGTTTTACATCAACTTTAATGCTTTAAGACCACAATAGATTCTTTAATGAAAGATCTCGGTTTTGACACGAAGTTTCTAGGCTAATACACACTACATTTTAGAGAAATATTCAGGTGGGACATTTTTCCACGAAAGAGAGAAGGCGAGACCAGGAATGAGACACACACAGAGAGAAAGAGACCAAAGGAGAAAGTCAAGGGGCGAGAGGAGGGAAGGAGAAAGGATAGAGGAAAACAGAGATATATAGACAGAGAAAAACGGAAAACAAAAGAAGAGACACACGACAGAGAAACTAGAGACCAAAGAAAGGGCTCAAGACCTAAACAGGAGAAAATAATTGAGAGATTTCCAGGGTAACAGATACTTCAAGAAACAGGAGAGAGAGGGAGACTCGGGGAGAAGGGGAAGGCACGGGGAGAGGAGAGCTCGAGGGCGCACGGATACCCACCGAGCATCTTCACGGTCTGTTTGTGGTTCCGGTCTCTGAGCGAGGCGCCCACCGCCGCCTCGCCGCGTCTCCTCTTCCACAGCTTCCTGCCGATGAGGCTATAGAGGACAGTGAGGCAGAAGACGGGCAGGAAGAAGAAGATGCTGGACACCCACACCATGACGGTGAGCAGCCCGGAGCGCACGGCGAACTCGGTGGCGCGGCACTCGTTGGTGTCCCGAGGGTCGGTGCCGTTCTCATGCTCCACTCCGACCAGCACGAAGATGGGCCCGGCGCTGCAGAAAGCCACGGCCCAGATGACCAGGATGACGAGCTTCACCCGGCCCTTGGTGATCACCACCTTGGCCCGCAGCGGGAAGCAGATAGCGAAGTAGCGCTCGACGCTCAGCGCGGTGATGGTGAGCACTGTGGCATAGGTGCAGCTCTCGCTAACAAACTGGAAGAGTTTGCAGAGCAGGTCACCCAAGTTCCAGGGCCGGTAATGCCAGAGGCGCACGAGGTCGAGGGGCATGCAGAGGAAGATGAGTAGGTCGGAGAAGGCCATGCTGGACAGGTAGAGGTTGGTGGTGGTACGCAGCTCGCGGAAACGCGACACCACCAGCATGGTGAGCAGGTTGCCCGCGATGCCCACCACGAAGAGTGCCACACAGGTGGCTGTGACACCCGCCAGCAGCGGCGCGGGGAAGAGGGGCGACAGCTCGGCTGTTAGCGAGTCGTTGTCGGGGGGAGCATCCCAGCCCAGGTCAGGCAGCGTGAGGTTGGACCCCAGCTCCTCGCTCCGTGTCGTATTCCACATGCTGCCGATTCTGCTTAACTGGTGCAAGGACGTGACTGCTCTGAGAAGCTGGATCTGGCTGGTCCGGGCGCAAAAGAGTGCGAGGGAGGAGCGTGCGCGCGGGCTCTCAGGGAGGATGCTTGGAAAGGAGAGAGAGAGGAGAGGCAGTATCCGAGCTAAAAGGTGAGATTGAGAGCCTGAGCGGGGAGGAGGGCGAGAGATGGAGGCAGGAAGACACACACACACAAACACACACACACTCTCTGGTGGTGAGATGGACAGAATGACCCACAGCTCTGGCACCTCTCGTTTGCCCCCATTCTCTCCCCCAAAGACCCTCTCTCCCAACCCAGCCTCCAGCCGGCCTCCACACAAGTACCTGTCACTGGGGTAGCTTCACCAACCCTGCTTCCCCTTTGCGTTCAGGCTCCAGCTGCTTCTGGCATTTCCCAAAGCGCGGCGAAGCGGAGACCCGGCACTGCGAAGCTGGAGCGCGCGGGAGCGCTCCCCCAGTAGCCTTGGGCGCCGCGTGCTCAGTGTGGCCCCAAAGGCAGATCACACCCGAGGATGGGGGCGGGGACAGCGCGGAGAACACCTTCAGTTCTCGGGGCCTGCCTCAACAAGGGTTAGAGTTGGCTACAAACCTGGTGCTGGAAACTGAGAGTGCACAGCTGAGCTTGGGAAAGGGAGGTCGGGAGTGTTCCGACGGGAGAGGAGACCGTGCGCCCCTGGGAAGAGCCTCACACAGTCCTAGAACCTACCATCGTCTTAGCGAGGAGAAGCAGGCTTAGAGAGGTGCAGCCACTTGTCCAAGGTCACACAGCGAGCTGGGGACTCAGGACTAGTTTTGAATATCCCATCTGGTGGACTTCTGAGAACGAAGGAGCAAGATGTGTGAATAAATTGTTGTGAATTCCAGCGCTTTGTGTAGTCCCCCAACCGGGCGGTGGTAGGGCATATGCTGTGGAGGAGATTACTTTTGCTGCAGCAAACCTCGGAGGAAGAGGACAAGCTAAGGGGCGCGCTAGCGTGGCGGAGGTGGGGGGAGCCGGTAAAGGGGGCATAGCCGAGGCTGTAAGGCTGGTACGTTGAGGGTGATCAGTAAACATTTTTTGAGGCACGGATAAGAAAGATCAGCCTTTGGGTAAATCATCAACCTTTTTGCTTCACATTCGAGGATGTTGTGAAAACCACTGAGAATGGATGTCAAGAGTGTTGGGGACCGAGTTGTAGCTCAATACATAAATAGAGGCAGCAGCGTTGCTGTTACTGCTATTGAGGGGCAGAAGCTGCGCTCCGTGGGGATGGGTCGGAGGCTGCCTCTACGCTCTCCAGGTGACTCTCTCTGGACGGGGCCACTGTGTCCTCTCCTCGGAGCCAGGAATCCACAAACTAAGGAGCGAAACGGGAGGCTGCCTTCTAACTCGCTGACCCGCCGGGCCTCTTCCGGCGGGCCAACCTGGGAGCAGCTCACAAGCGTGTTCAGCACCGCGGCCAGCGACCGGCTCCCTACCTCGCGGCCCTGCTCACCCCGCTGAGGCCCGCAGGCTCTCACCTTTCACTTCTGGCCTCAGGGCCTCAGTCCAGCTCCGCGAGGGAGCCAGGAGATTCCTCCCAAATTCAGACTCATATTAAGTGGCTTCGCTGACCGCGCCTATTCACACTCATTTACCCGTGGCCTAAATTGATTTTGTATGAGAGAGAGCTTTCCCGAAGCATTTTAGCGCCTTTGCATATGCCTTGGACAGATGGTTTATATTACCTCTGTCGACTAAACTGTAAATGCTTTAAAGTCCACAAAAATTTAAGGCTGGATGTATGCACATGTGCATGAAAGATTCCACACAAAGGAAGAGACTGGATGTTTAGTACAGGCAACTTACTGGAAAATGCTACATAGGTTACTACTGCTGTGTACAGATGTTGGAGCAAAGATCCACTACAATTATTATTTTAGAAAAAGATGAGGGAGTGCCTGATGGTTTCAGTGGTTAAGAATCTGCTTGCCAATGCAGGGGATTCGGGTTCAACCCCTGGTCTGGGAACTAGGATCCCACATACCAGGGGGCAGCTACTGAAGTCCCTGCCCTCAACAGCCCATGCTCTGCAACAAGGGACGCCACCAAAATAAGAAGCTCTCACACAGCAACTAGATTTGACTTTAACACTTCTCACACTACATTATCGGGTTTTCCATATGGCACTAGTGGTAAAGAACCCATCTGCCAATGCATCCCTGGGTCGGGAAGATCTCCTGCAGGAGAGCATCCACTCCAGTATCCTTGCCTGGAGAACCTCATGGACAGAGGAGCCTGGCGGGCTATAGTCCATGAGGTCACAAAGAGTTGGACATTACTGAAGCAACTTAGGATGCACTCTACATTATCAGTAGTATTCTGTGTGCAGACAAATCTCTAGGAGGAGAAAACAGTGGGATAAGTAAAAATACCACAAGAGGCTATAACCTAAGAATAAGAATCAGGAAAAAATTGTGGGGACATATTTCTAATTTATTGAATGTGAAAGTAATAGCTAATAAATAGGTGAAATTCTTCTTAAAAATCCGTTACAACAAAAATTTGTCATGTTGGCCAAAATAGCCAGATTTTAACTGCATTCAATTATTTTCTAAAATAAAGACAAATCTGTATTGTGTGATGAAGAACAAAAAACAGGGGATACTATTGAAATTGATTCATTCATTTACAACACATAATATTATAAAAATATATAAAACTTTCTATTAGTAGGTGTCAGGTACTGGGAATGACAAAAAAAATTAAAAAGTCAAAAAGGTCCTGTATTTATAAACTTACCTTATGGAGAGAAAAGTACAGTTAAACAAGCAATTCCAGTACAGTTTGATATGTGCATTTAAAGAGGCATGTACAATAAGCTCTGTTGAAATATGGAGAAACAATGAACTGCATAGAGGTTTTAGGGAAGGCTTCTCAGAGGAAGTACCACCTGAACTGGATATTCAAAGTTGAGTTCCAATAGGTGAAGTGGAACATGCTAAACTGTTCAGATAGGCACAAAACCACACTGGAGCATAAAAACCCAGCATACCTTATCCTTTGAGGAGTTTTATTATGGATTCATAGATTTTCATATATTCAGTGAGGAGCAGTCAAGATTACAGTATTTTTTTTTTTCTTTTTGATGCTTAAATTATCCTATCTTTGGCTAATGAGATCCCTTTCAACCTGGCTCCAGGGCCTCTGACATGACTTGCTTAGACTTTGAGAATTTTCTTGCCAAAATGTGTGGCACAGTAAAACACCACTTGTAAGTAACTTACTGTGTAAGTTCCCTACTCTAGACCTGGGAGCAGCTATTTCTCCAAGAATTCCTGGTACCTTTTAGTGGGGAATGGCATTTGGAAACTTCAGTTTGGGCAGTAAGGATGGTTACTGCTCCTATAATATTATGGCCTAGACCCTATCTATCGACAGAACTAGGATAAATGTTTTTTGAAAGTGTCATGAGATGATGATAATACAGTAGGTAAATCAGACACACTCTTAGCAAGTGATCATAATTAACATCACCAGTGTGATGCTCTGTAAAAGACACAAAGTCCCTTACATGGTATTCCAGCTAGGAATGCACAATCTCAAACTAATCACAAAAAAATATCAGACAGACTCAAAATGAGGAATATTCTATTTTTAAAATTTCTTTCCCAAGATGTCAACATTATATATGACAAAAAAAGACTGGGCAAATGATCCAGACAAAAGAAAACCAAAGGGATGAAACAGCTAACTGTAATTTCTATCCTAGACTGGATCCTAAACTGGAGGATAAAAACTTCTATAAAGGACAATATTGGGTAAAGTGACAAACTTAGAATATGAAGGATAGATTAGATAGAAGTATTGAATCAATGTTAAATTTACTGGAATTGATAACTATGTGAAAGAAAATATTTTTAAAAATACACACTTAACCATGCTCTATGCTTCTGTTTCAGAATAATAATTACTTGTGTGTAGATAAACAGAGAACTTCCTAAGTGGCTCAGTGGTAAAGAATCCATCTGCCAAGTGGAAGACTTGGATTTGATCCCTGGGTTGGGAAGATCCCCTGGAGGAGGAAACGGCAACCCACTCCAGTATTCTTGCCTGGGAAATCTCATGGACAGTGGAGCCTGGCCAGCTGCCATCCAAGGGGTTGCAAAGAGTCAGATATAACTTAGCAACTAAACAGCATCAGCAGACAAACAGAGGCAATGACAAAGCAAATGGGGGAAAATATGAATAATAAATGAATCCAGGGAAGGGGTAGAATGATTTCTTTGTATTATTCTTGCAACTTTTCTTTGTTTGAAGTTATTCCCGTACAAAAAATTAAGAAGTCATTAGCTTTAGAGATATTTCAACTCAACTTCTGATTATTTACTTAACGTACTTGGTTTTATATTCCTACTGAATATCCTGGCTTCTAACAACATAAGCATAATTATTTATGTTGTAATATGCATTAAATGATTTCAAACTAATAACATTGGCACTACTGTTAATAGTAAACTTGGCAAATAAAGCCTGAGATTTTCTTGCAGTTCTCTTTGTGCTTAGAATATACCCCACTAAGTGTGTACAGGGCTTCCCAGGGGGCACTAGTGGTAAAGAACCTGCCTGCCAATGTAGGAGATGTGGGTTTGATCCCTGGGTCGGGAAGTTCCCCTGAAGAAGGGCATGGCAACCCACTCCAGTATTCTTTCCTGAAAAATTTCAAGGGAGGAGGAGCCTGGCAGGCTATAGTCCATAGGGTTGCAAAGAGTTGGACAAAACTGAGCACATATGCACGAGTCTACAAATGTGTACAACTATGTGTCCTAAAATTAATTGAAATAATGCTTTTTTATGTGTGGTTAAGTGACAGATTTGATGCAGTTAGATTTGTTTCAGTTACTTTTAATTTTAGGAATTATTTAAAATTTTATATTTGAATATATAAATCATTCATGTGATTTGACAATTAAAATTTTAAAACAAAGCATGGTCTTAAATTTAAAATGATAAGCCAAAGAATATTCAGCAGCATGTTATACCTTCTGCATACTCCTCAACTGATATCATTAAAAAGAATTTAGCCTCTGGTTTACCTATCCTGTGTGTTTCTGTAAATATTTGTGTGTGTGTATGTAGCTTACATAAAGGGTAATATACTACATACACTGTCCACTCTCTTCGTTTTTAACATAACACAGTATCCTGGAGTTCTCTAATACCAATATTCTTTTCTTGGATGTTTTTGTAGTACTCCATCTTGGGAAACTTACATAGTTTCCATTATGAAGATGCACCTTAGTATTATTCAACCAACATTTTATTGTTTTTGCTTGTATGTTTTTAATAATCTTTTACTATTATAATAATGTTGCATTTTATATGTTGACAGATATAGCACAGAATAACATAAAGATGAAATGACAGTTTAATAAAAAGAAGAATGTTCTCTTCCCAGCTCTGGCAAGCAACCACAATCTGTTTTCTGTCTGAATTTCACCACTCTAGTTACCCCTTGCCAGTATTTGTTGTTTTATGAATGGTTTATTTCATTTCGCATAATGTCCTCACAGTTTGTCTATGTTGTAGCTTGTGCCAGAATCTTCTTCTTTCCTGAGTAATATTTCAGTCTATGGATATAGACCACATTTTGCTTATCTGTCCATCCACGAATAGACACCTGAATTACTTCCACCTTTTGGCTCTTGTGAATAATGCTGCTATGAACATTGATATACAAACATCTGTTTGCTTCCCTGCTTTCAATTCTTTTAGGTATATACCCAGAATTGGAATCGCTGGGTCATATGGCAATGCTATATTTCATTTTTTGAGGAACTGCCATATGGTCTTCCACAGCAGTGGCCCTATTTACATTCCCACCAGCAGTGAACAGGGATTCCAATTTCTTTACATCCTTGACAATATCTATCCCCTGTTTTTTTTTTTTTCTGTTGTTTATTTTCCTGTTTTGTAAAGACATCCTAATGAGTATGAAGTGGTATATCATCATGGTTTCGATTTACATGTCCCTAGTAATTAGTGATGTTGAGCACCTTTTCACATACTTATTGGATATTTGTATATATTCTTTGGAGAAATATCTATTCAAGTCCTCTGCCAATTCAAAAATCAGGTTATTTGGGTTTTTTTTTTTTTTTTTTTCCTGTTGAGTTGTCCTTTTGACTCTTGAGATTTTTTTCCTTGTCAATTCATCTTCTAATGATTCTGAAAGCATTGGAAAATAAATGGGAGGAAGGAAAGTTTGTAAAAAGTAGTATTCCATTTTAATGGATATGACTGTAACATCCGAGGCAGTTTCAAAGCTTCAACAGATGGTGCACAGCAATTGTGCTATACTGATTGAGTTACAACAAATTCCATTAAATTAAAAATCCTCTTAGCAGATGCCTTCAACAATTGTTGTCTTCTCTGAAGCTAATCTCTGGAGCAAAGACTTTTTTTTTCGGTGTTTGTTATTTGTAGTGTTTGGATCTTTGAAATTCTAGACTTTCTACAAAATACTCTATTGATATTTGGGTGGCACTTTATTTTAGGAGTGTTGAGGGGTAGGAGGATGGAGGGATAAAGAGGACGTTAATCTCTGACAACAAGGTGGATTGCTAATAAACTAGACAAGATTTGTGAAACATGAATATATGAGTTTCTTTATAAAAATAAACAGTATATCTTGAAACTGTTTTGCTATAGATTGCAATATATATTCACTTTAATGAAAGTTAAATACTATAAATTATCTCACCAAGATCACTAAAATAGGAGTCTACCTCTAGTTCTAATTTCCTAAAAATCCATAATTACTTATTAAGGCTGGTAAATAATACCAAAAAATCTATGACCATTTGGGTAATTTGATTTTACTATGTCAAGGTATTATTTAATATGCTATTAAGATAATGTATCAAGATATTTCATTATGTTAAGTCTTGCCAGGTGCGTTAGAAATCAGAATGTTTCCTCTGTACAACTCACGGAACA